TAGATAGATAGATAGATAGATATAGATAAGGTAGATAGATAGATAGATAGATAGATAGATAGATGGGGTTGCATTGAGGGATACAGTAACCACCACTATATTATACTTTAGTTGTATACTGCACATTTTGTCACATTTAGTAAGCCTAGATAAATTTGCTTGATAAATTTAATTCTAAATAATCTGCATAATGTATGCAATATTTAAACTGCATACTCAATATACAGTAGACAGTATGATAGTGTGCTGATCCAAATGCAGCCTCGTTTATTTAAAGATGCTTTGCTGCTATCTAGTGTTGTATTTGGGTATTGTGTTTTGCACTAATTTTCACTGGTTCACTGTTAGCCAATCATGCAGAGGTCGCTAATGAGCTGCTGTTGATTAATGAGAAGGCTTGATGAGTGTGAGTCACATCTGCAGAGAGGAAACGAATGCATGGCTTCAGTTCAGGATAGAGTTGCTGCATTAAATATTGTAGGGAAATTATACAGTCCCCTCAACCAACCCCTTGGTAACATCTGTTTTATGACAGTTTTAAGGTAGTGTCATTTCATTTAAAGCACTTAAGAGCACAGTAAAAAAAACGTTGTGTTTTTTTTTTTTTTTCAGATCATAGATTGCTCAACAAACATCAAGATGTACAAACCAACAAGGTTCAAAGCAAAGAAATCTGGAGCCACATCATCGCTGCTCTACAAGCCCAAGTGAAGGTCAAGAAACACAGGCAACATCTGAAATCTCATGATAACTGCTTTCTGGGCTCTGATGCAGTGGATGTTATTCAGGATTATCTGACCCAGAATAAGGTTTTTGGAGATGCCCAGGCCTCCAGAGCCACAGTGTCACGACTGTGCCAGGTGCTGCTGGACTGTAAGGTGTTTGAGGCGGTGGGAGCCAAAGTTTTGGGCAAGACCAGTAAAACAGGAGGCTTCCAGGACAGCAGCAGCAGCCTCTACAGATTCCTGAAGGATCCGTCCCTGGATGTGTTGGAAATGGCGCTTTTCCCACCAAGTGAAGAGAGTCTGATGAACATCACACCATGCAGGTGTTTCAGATCACTGTAGATGCTTTTTTGTTGTAGCACTGAATGTTTTTCTTACATTTGAATTATAATATTTGATCTTTTTAGGCAGGACATCCTGTTATTCTCCCATAGTACACCTGTGAAACCAGACCATGTGTTGGATCGTCTCATGGAGAAGCTGGACTTGACCGGACTTGTCGGTTCTCCTCCCACTGATTGTCTTCCTCCATCTGGTAAGAGCTTTGTTCAGATTCTGCTGATGTTTGAGGTACAAAGGCTGTGTTTGTAATGTACTGTAATCTACCAACTATTTTTCATGTTGCATGTTTAATTCAGTGAATGGTGTCGAGCTAACAAAAAACAAGCTAAATAGTTATCTTTAAATTTTTTTTAAATCATATTTTGTTTCAAATAATTAAAGTTTGTCTGCCTCCAAGAAAAAAAAACTTATTTTAATCTATCTCATAATTATCTTGCATAATATACTTTTTATTTTTTTTTAAATAAAATTTAGTTTCGACTTGTTTTTATTTTGACTTTACTTTAAATGATCTCATAATTATCTTTAACTCTAAGGTGGCAACATTATTTATTAAATTTTGTTTAAAAAAATTAAGGCTAGTATGCCTCAACGTTTAATTTTTTTTTTATAATTTTAATCTCATAATCATCTTTAACTCTGAGGTGGCAACATACAGTAGCATGCATATTGCAATATTTATTTTTTTGATCCAGTTTTGTTAAATATCTAAAAGCTTATATGCCTCAAAGTTAAAAAAATTAAAATGGTTATTTTGACTTTAACTCTGTGGCGGCAACATAGTAAGCATATATTTAAATGTTTAAATCAAATTTTGTTTCAAATATTTCAAAGTTTGTCTGCTTTTATATAATTTTGTTTTTTTATTTCTTAATTTATCTAAATAGTTTGAACGAGTGTTAGAAGTCCTGCAGCTGACGCTGAAGCTGCTGTCTGCGTCTGCACGTGAGGAACTGCGCAGGCTGCTGGAGTTTATGGCCGCAGCTGCAGATGCTGCAAATGTCAAGCTGCACAAAGAAGTGAGGAGTCATAAAGCACGCAATGAGTTATTCACACAAATGTCAACTGTTTACACTTATTTCGAATTGTCAGATTGAAAACCGGGTGGTTGTGAAGAAGACGTTCACCAGAGCCGTCATCCAGAGCAAGAGTCTGACAAAAGGAAAGACAGACCTGCTCATGCTCTTCATGCTTGACAACCACCAGGAGATCTTCAAGGTTTCTTCTTTTTTTTTTAATGAATTAAGACAATACTGATCAATAATGATATAATACAGAAATAATTAGTTGTGGCTGTTGTACATCATCATACTTCCTTTTATTAGATTCCAGGGTCTCTTCACAAACTGGTCAGTGAGAAGCTGGATGACATTGTGAAACACAGAGATTCTTCCACAACTGGTATGATATTTATAGTGTTATTTTAGCATTCATATATTTCAGTTAATAATTACAGTTAGTAATTTTAGTGCTTTAACTTGCACTTCATTTTTCATTTGTGACCCTGGACCACAAAACCAGTCATAAGGGTCAATTTTGTTGTATACATCATCTGAATGAATACGCTTTCCATTGATGTATGGTTTGTTAGGATTGGACAATATTTGGCCGAGATACAACTATTTGAAAATCTGGAATCTGAGGGTGCAAAAAAATCGCCTTTAAAGTTGCCCAAATGAAGTTCTTAGCAATGCATATTACTAATCAAAAATTAAGTTTTGATATATTTACGGCAGGAAATGTACAAAATATCTTCACCTATCCAACCTAACTATGATAATAATAAAGTGACAAGTGGTTTGAAGTATTTGTCTTCTCTTGTTATGTTAGATACCCCGTTTTGTCAGCGAGTGCCAAGAGACACGTACACAGAGACCATAAAGGACTCGACCAAAAATGAGCTGTACTCTCTCTTGAAAAACATTGATGAAAACACCAAATATCCCCTGAAAGAGAAGAAACGACTCCTGGCGCAGTTTTATAAGGGTCATCCAGACATCTTCATGCAGTATTTTGGGTCTAGACTGAGCACACTAAACCTTCTTGAAGTTTAAGTTCACTGTGTCCTGTAAATGTTTTTTTGTTTGTTTTTTTGTATCCAAATAAATAAAAATAAACATTTAAGTGTCAAATAAGAATGGAGTATGTGTCTTTAAATAGTCTAAATGTAATATTCTACCTTCTTAGTGGGAAAATTGTTATGGATAGGGCCTATGCCTCATAAATAAACTGAAAATACTCCAATAGAAGTGTGAATGTTACACAGAAATGAGTTGTTATATAATCATATTATACACCAAAAAACGTGTTAAAATACGAAATGCAGCAGCCTGTCATATATTAAGACAGAAATCATATTTTGCTGGTTTTAAAAGGAACTCAAACTCAAGTTGTGAGCAACTCTTTTATCGCTATACTAGCCTTTTCGTTCTTTATTAAAGTTTTGTAGTAGCCCATATATTATTTGTGATGCATTTGTTTTGTACTGAGGTACTTCTATTTATGTCGTAAGTATTTTTTTAATCTTTATTAAATTTGCGAAATGTCTGAAAGCCATTACAAACATCACCTTTGTGCTTTCGTCGCGTCCTGTGCCTTTAATACTGATGCGTCTCCAGAAGCCGCTGTGGCTCCGTCCGTTCTTTACGCGTTACAAACTCTGATTGGCTCTTCACTCCTAGACAGACAAAAGCTCGTCCAATCAGCGTCCGATGGGTCAGGACACGTCAATTAGAGCGGAGTGCGCTTCCAGCGCCTGTTCTCAGATCAGTTGGTCGTGCGCACAGCGTCGGGTGTTCCTACAGCGAGTAGATTTACTTAACTGTTCCTGGATCAGCTCTAGGGTTCAAATCTCGCCCCGGGGTTGAGACTGAATTCCGGGCGCGGCTCAAATCTCCTCCCCGGATGCCCCAGAAACCCTAACACAGTCATTGCCACACATTCAGTTTTTTTCGGGTTGTTCATGGTGCGGAGCTGCGAAAGGAGGATGAAGTTTTTGGTGGCAGTCACATTGATCGTTGGCTCGGTGATTTTCCTGCTTTTCCCGAGCGGATCGGAGGCGGATGAGAAGAAAAAGGGACCCAAAGTCACGGCCAAGGTACAAAAACGCTGCGCCGTATCTGGCCTATTGCACTATTCCTAATGTTACGTTTATACTTAAATTCAGCGTGCCAGATTCGCCTAGCCTATTTCTTTTTGCTTGAAAACCATCTGTATGTTTAGTTTATTTTTTTTCACCATTTGCATTTACCAATTTTCATTGGTTTTGTGCAAAATACACTATTATAATCAGGCCTGTAACACTGCACAAGTGTTTCATAATTTAATCAAAGTATTGCATCAATATTTGTCACTTGACCTGAAGTCTATTGATAAATCTGGGTTTTATGGTCGCTTATGGATTCACCATAATGCATCTGCAGAACTGATGTTTGATGTGCTGGTGTGACTCTGGATATGATTGCTTTCGCAGGTTTACTTTGACATCAGGATCGGAGATGAGGATGCAGGACGGATCGTCATTGGACTCTTTGGAAAAACTGTCCCTACAACGACAGAAAATTTCCTCCAGCTGGCCACTGGCGAGGTGAGTTAGGTTTTTTTTTTTTTCTTCCATTGCTGGTCAGGATTGATGATTCATAGTAAAGTGAGTCTAAATGAATGCAATTCTGATTTCCAGAAAGGATTTGGTTACAAGGGCAGCAAGTTCCACCGTGTGATCAAAGACTTCATGATCCAGGGAGGAGATTTCACTAAAGAAGATGGAACCGGAGGTATCATGTTTAATTGTTGTTTTAATGTTCTCATAAAATTAGAACTCATTAAGATTATCAACCTAGTACTTAAGTAATTTTTTTGAGGTCTCAGATGCCAAACAAGAGCAATAAACCTCAGTTTATTAGCTCCAGGATTATTAAAAGATTTCTAACGCCTCTATGTAGGTAAGAGCATCTACGGAGACCGTTTTCCTGATGAGAACTTCAAGCTGAAGCATTATGGTCCTGGTTGGCTCAGCATGGCCAATGCCGGCAAAGACACCAACGGCTCCCAGTTCTTCATCACCACGGTCCAAACGCCATGGCTGGACGGCAAACATGTCGTGTTTGGCAAAATCCTGGAGGGCATGGTGAGTATCTCCACTTCGTCCATCTGTGAAGAAGTTGTCTGTTCTTCCATACTCATAGAAGTGCATTTACTAATTTTGTGGCTTTTCCTGCTGTCTTGAAGGATGTGGTGAGAAAGATTGAGAGCACAAAGACCGATGGGCGAGATAAACCTCTCAAGGATGTCATTATCCACGACTCTGGCAAGATCGAGGTGGAAAAGCCTTTTGCAATAGCTAAAGAGTAATTTAAGTGTGGGGGGACAATAGGACTCTGGGTTTAAGGGGATTGAATTTGGTGCCACTAGAGTTCTAGTGGGAAGAGCGAGTGTGTATGCGCTCATTGGAGCTCCGCCCCCTCGCGGGACCGTCACACACCAGTCCTGATCCGCAGAGCGGCACATCCTGGGTCCAGTTCAAACCAGCATTCCACACGGTCAGATTCCTGACCCACTTCAACCTGCTTTTGTAAACTAATCTTCAATAAAGGATCCAGGTTTTCTTAATGCTGTCGTCTTGCTTAAATAAATGCCTTTTGTTTTGTTTTGTTTTTTGACCATGAACAAATCAGACACTCTCTTTATTTCATAATAATCTTAATAAAAGTGTCTTGGCACAGTAAAACAAAATCAGTGACAACCTGGGTTTGGAATGTGATTTTCATGAAGAAATGTCCAGTTTATATTTTACACTGACATTTAAAAGACAAAATATATCCATAACGAATTATGAAAATTAAAATTGAACACAAAACTACATTTTAATATGGTGGGGGGAAAAACTAAAGTATAAATCACATTTAGTACTGCATACTGCAATGACATATAACGGCATTTGCACTTAAAATATTTACATTTAAATCTACTTGTGTGTTGGCAGGGTTCCTAAAAATAGTCTTTATTTATTCTTTCTTTTTTTTCAGAAATATATGAAATGAATAAAAAATATACGCAAACATTTATTTGTTTGGATCACTTATTTCAAGGATCATGAAGACAAATTATGCACAAAAACTAGATTTTAATATGGAAAAAAAACCTTTTTGAAAAATAGTCTAAATTAAATTTAGTACAACGTATTGAAATGCTGTATAATTGCAGAGGTACTTTAAATATTAAAATTTTAATCTATTTTGTGCATAATAATACAGTTGGCAGGCTCCAACTCCAAATGACCGAGACCGTTTTTGTGAGATTCACATAATAAACTATGACAAACCTAAAGATGAAAGATTCAGTCTAAACATGCAAAGGCACATTTAATGCAGATGGAGTTGCTAGGCAAGCTCACATTCTCTGTGTCTCTGGCAGTGAGCTGATATTGCCTCTTGTTTATGGTAATAGTGGGGATTTTGGGATGCACGGGCAGCTCTGGTGCACAGGTGAGGCCGCTGGGTTTAGCGCAGCTCTTTTTGAAACTCACTTTGACGTCTCTGGGGTAAAAACCCTGCAGGACGCCGGCCGCCACGATATCAGGGAGGTCTGGGGGGAAATGAACACAACAGAGTGTTTCTCTTGGATGTAATCAACACATTTCTGTAATGACACAATCACAGTAATCTAGTCAGGTTTACCTGATCTGGATTCAAGCTGGTAAGGGTCAGCCGAGAAACCAACTACTCGCTGATGGAATAACTGAAATCTATAGGAAGACAATGTTCAATGTTTATTTAGAATCAATTGATCTAAATCTGATTCCAAATGCAGGCTGCATTTATGGATATGAATTTATTAAAGAAATGAGGATGAACATACCTGTATCCCTGCTCTTGACAGTCATCTGACTGGTTTTCACTGAAATATAACAATTAGGAATAACAAGCCAGAAAGCAGTGTTAACAGAATTATTAGTTTACTTCTTGTTACTAATTTAACTGAATTTTCCAGTGAAGTGATCTGGTGTAAATACATACTCAGAGCTGCAGTTCTTGCTCGCCGAATGAAAATGTTTGACCTGCAGGAAGTCCAGGAGCTCTTGAGGAACAACGTCATTTTGATACAGAATCACCTGTAATCAGCAGCCAATGAACAAAACTATTACATTACAATGTTGATATATTCCGATCTATTTTATATATTATGATACTTTATATACCCTACAGTTCAAACGTTTGTTTTTGAAAAATGTCTCTTATGTTCACCATGGCTGCATTTATTTGATCAAAAATACATTAAAAAACTATATTGTGAAATATTTTTACAATTTAAAATGCTTTCTATGTTAATATTTTAAAATGTAATTTATTCCTGTGATGCAAAGCTGAATTTTCAGCATCATTACTCCAGTCTTCAGTGTCACATGATCCTTCAGAAATCATTCTGATATGCTGATTTGCTGCTCAAGAAATATTTCTTATTATTATCAATATTGAAAACAGTTGTGCTGCTTCATATTTTTGTGGAAACGGTAATACCTTTTTCAGAACTCTTTGATTAATAGAAAGTTCAATAGAACAGGGTTTATTTGAAATAAAAAATGTTTTTTGGCCAATTTAATACATCCTTGCTGAATAAAAGTATTGATTTCTTATTTAAAATAAATAAATAAATAAAAGTAATATTTCTCATCAAATATCCAAAAACAAGGTGATGAGGGGTGAGGGTGCTACATTTGAAATAGCATACTAATATTCTATTTTTGCAGTATGTTGTATAGACTGTGCTTAGTATGTGATTTTTTTATTTTTTTTTTGGTGTATATTGGATATTTCGATTTCCAAACACATTTGCCCTTTTAGAACACAGGTCTCGTAAAGGTTAAAAACAAAACAAAATGTGCTTTTTACAACCTGATTGCGTGCAATACTGTATCCCATAATATGACCCTCAATGATCCTCTATTCTGTCAAATGAGTAGGGTACAACAGGGCTAAAGGCGCCCCGGGGTAAAAGGCGCCTTTGAAATTATTTTCATCTAAACCACTAGATGGCACAAAAACGCGGCATAGCACTTTCCAAAACATTTGCTTTTCAAGATGCACGTGTATATTTGTCTGATCTTTGACGTGATTGCGCGCAGCAGCGCAAAGTTGATTCTGTGCTTACATGATCTAATATTTGATGTTTTTTAAAATGTTGTTGCATATGTTGCAAAATTAATGCATATATTTTGAGACAAAGGTCTTCTTAACGATTTGTTTTGTTTAAGATAATTAAAGCAACATTTTTTAAAATAACTAAAGAATATTTCAAAGTATGGTATTTGGGGTAAAAAGCGCCCGTGCTGTTGGGGCTAAGGGCGCACAGTAATTAACATGATAATTAATAGATGGCTGACTTTTCCATGACATGGTTAGATTCAGATGGTAAATATCATATATTATGTTGGGTGTCCATATTAGAGATAATCACCATGTTTAGAATGAATATGATAGGATCGCTGAGGTGTGTGCTTCCCCCGGATACCTTCCAGCCTCAATCAAGCCAAAGACTCGGATTACTCCACTCTCCATATCCTCTGCACTCTCTCACGGACCTTTCCCTCACCCTCACTTCCTCCGGACTCGACACCAGTACTCACTGTGACCAAATAAACTGTTTTGTATATAACTAACCTGTTGTGTCAGACCTCTTCCGTAACAATTAGAGATAATCACCATGTTTAGAATGAAACCATCATATTTAAAAACATGATATTAATCATATCATATAATAAAATATAATTTGCGGTTACTACTGTAAATATATATTCAATTATTATTGGATCGCCTTCAATACTTTCAGAATCTTAACTTATTAAAATGATTTTGTTTCTGTATTTTAAAATATATTTTTTATAGTAACATATTTTAATGACAGTATATTTATTGAACAAATGAATTATTTTACTCAAAATAAACAGAAAATAGTACAAACTTTGCTAAAGTGATTGTTTTGAACAAGTATTAATTTAAAGACATGATTTATAAAAAAAAATTAAAAAAAACATTATTTTAGCTGAAGTATTTGTATCAATACCGTGTGTGGGGTAAAAGGCCCCTCTTTCATACATTTATAAGATTTTTAAACAAAATAAACAACTTGAATGATTTATTTTCACACAAAATCTGTTGCTCCATTAATGTTCAATACAACGTATATATTTTTTCTGCAATTATACATTTTAGGCGCAGTGAATAGCACATTTTTTCTTAAGGTGGGCCTTTAGCCCCGTTGTACCCTACTATTTAAAATATATTGTTGTGTACTACATATGCTTAATAAACTATTACACCTGTGTTGTTATTGCTAACAAAAACTATAAAAAAAATATTTCGGTAATTGAAATAAAACTTAAATAAAATAAAAAAATTAAATGAAAATAAGAATTATTACTTTGGCAATTAACTAAAGTTAGTACTTGACGTACTAAAACTACTAAAACTGAAATAGAAAAATTAAAGCTAAATCAAATTATTAAAAAGAATAACTAAAATAATGCTAATTCAAAATATGAATAAATACCATAACAGAATAAAATAAGCATAAGAAATATATAGCATAAAACAATAAAATATATATAAAAAATAATAAAACAACAACATAATATAATAACATAAAATAACTATATCTACCTGGATGTAGTCTTCCAGTTCCTGCCGTCTTTGCTCCAGCAGTTTGGTTCGCAGGTGCTGATTTCTCTTACTGGGGAAATCGGGAGCGCGCAGAATCTTCTTCAGCTTCCGGTGAAGCATCTGAAATTCACTGTGTCTCCGCAAAACAAAGTGTTTCCTTCCATTGAAGAGAATCTCCAACCTGAAGAGCTGAAAAACAAGAGAGTCCGTGTCATAAAACCCGTAAACGATCAGAACAGACTTCAATAAAATTAATTGCTCTGTAACTACTACCATGTCAACCACTGATCTATATA